ACATATGTTCACTTTAACATAGGGGAATACATGTTTGTTGTTCCAAGTCTCTGTGACAAAAATAAACAACCAAGAATGCACTACATAGGCAATGATAATGGGCTCAGAGAGTTCTCTTAGGGGTAATAAGCTTGCTGCTACTGGCTTGTGGGAGGCCGAGGTGAAGCTATCAGACATTTTGGGGGGACAGCATCACGTTGTCAGACATCTAGAACGCTCTGAAACCACTTCTGAGGTGACAAACGATGGAGTCGTGGACGTTCACTACGAGCCACGCTGACGTGCAGCATCCAGCAGCCTGTTCTCGTCTTTCTTTCTGCCTTTTTAAAGGCCTTTTACAGTCAAACTAGAGTCACACCTGACTAGTGTGTGGGTTAAATTTAACGGCTGAGAATTTGTTTGGCTATACTGAAGCTTTATCCAACCAGAACAACAGAAGAGACCTACTGCCTTTATATGTTCACTGAGTGTATGATAACGTCTTAAAAGCTGCACTGCACTCTGTTTAGACTTTCTATAAGCTCCAGGCATGAAGTGAGTCATGTGAAATATATGAACAGTAGCTCTACTGGTTGACATTACACCTCCAACTATGTACTATATGTCAAACCTGTCTGACTCACTACAGAACCATTCAATACCACAACTTCAGTATCAATCAGCGGCACTTACATATCAAACTAACAAGGACTCAGGAGTCTTGTGGTTGCCAGTACTTTATGTTTCTCTAACTAATATCAACCAGGACTCCTGTACATGTGATGTATGGAGGTGTAAGGTTGCTCTCCCTCCCTCCTCTATGCTCTCCATTCCTGCTGTCAGGAGGCCGGTGTGTCTTTGATCTTTCCGTCATTAGTCAGGTATGCAGAGACGCAGGCAAACCCACAAACTTGTCTTTTCCTCTCCCTTTCTTGCTCTCTCCCACGCTCTGGCCGGAGAACACCGGCTGACCTGCTTGTCTTCTCAGCTCTCTATCAAAGACAGAAAAAGGTAGAGCGGAGCCTGCCGTCGTCGCTTTGAGCTGTACAGAAAGTGACATGTCGACGCGCTCAGCCAGCTCCATTACTGCCTTTTTACTGAAAACAGACAGCACAGGAGGTTCAAACTACTTTAACACTAATACGATTTTATTTTAAAGCAGCAAAACCAATCTCTGTCCAGACAAGTGTTTAACTTTCAGAAATATTCTCTATGCAACACCTGAAAGCGCATTCACGTACAGCTGACATGTAGGCAGCAGTGTGACCATGAATACTCCAGAGGTAGAGCAGCACTGACCAACAGCAGGAGCAGGGATTTCCTTCACTGGACAGCAGCTGTTAGCAGAAACAGTAAATAAAGCTACGGTTCATAATTCACAATAAAATAACTCCTTGTAGTCGTTACTTCCAGAAAAAGATCACAAGATGGCAGCGTCACAAATCAGAGAACGGCATGTAGTGACAAATCAGAGTCAGTGTTTGCATCGTCGTTTCCATAAGTCACCATTTCTACCCAGTTTGCAAACCAAAACCAGGTCAGCAGTGTTTAAAAAGCCTCTGTTTTCCTAAACCCCGGAGTAGTGTAGATGCTAGAGGCAGCAGAGGTTTAAGGCCTGAACCCTCTGAACTCTAAGCAGTTTCTGGGTGTTTCTTTTTCCTTCTCCTGGCACATTTCTACTCACTGTGGACTCATGTTTTATTGCAATATAAAGTCCTGCACCTCTATGGAAACAGCACAACCAAGACTAGAAGCACAGAGGACTCAGAAATGTGTTTTGTGTAAAACAATTACGTTATAGTTGCAATAAATCACGAAGAAATAAGAAAATGTGTTGCTTTGAGTATTTATCTAGTACACTGACATTTTTTCAAATGCCTACAGGTGTTAATAAAACTACAGGTATTTTACTACTTTTATTTCTAATTGGTTTCTATATGTGTCTCCTCTGCTCTGTTTAAACACATCCTGCAGTTCAGAAGAAAAGTCTTGACTGACTTGCTAATGGTTTGGAAGAGGACAGAATTTTTATTTTTTACAAACTCTGGTTTATTTTTAGTAAATCTTTCAATAAGAAACTCAGAATAAAGTGATCTGATGTCACGATTATGAGCTTAGATTTGATTAATTTTGGGAGAGACCTTTGGAAAGTTTTTGTTTTCCCTTGTTTTTCACGTTTCTGGCTCTGATAAATTGAGTCATGGTGATATTTTAAAGACATCATGTCTGTCAAACCCACTGGTGGATGCTGGGGTTCAGAGGGTTTAAAATTACAACGTACCAGTGTGGATGGAGCCTTGGAGGTCTGTCCTCGATTTACTAGTGGAAGATGGCCTCAGAGAGAAAACATAAATGATGTATTTGCTATTCTTTCAAAACCTCACGCACTGCTAAAGTTTAAAAATGATTTTGTTCCGACAGCAGAAAGCTAATGTCAACATGACAACACAATAAATCTGTTAATTTAAGACAATAACTTCATAAACACCCAGAAAACAAAGTCAAAGCAACTTGTTTCACCCAAATGGTGAATGAAAGCGTTCACTCTTGGAATCACTCAAAACTTGACCAACACAAAAAGACAGCACAAGAGAGAGATCTGAACATTTTTGAAGCTTACAGTCAGTTTTCTGTACCAGTTCAGGTTGACTGGTTTTAAGGAGCTTTTGCTTGACCATGTTAAAGAAATTATCTAAATATTTAAAGTGTACAAACCAGACTGACTTCACAAACTGGGAAGGATCCGATGCACAAGTCTTCAGCGACGTTAACACAAAAGTGAAATGGTGACTAAGCAGCATCACTTCCAAGCTGCTGCTCTGGATAACCAAAACCCACAACCCTGTATGACTAACTCCCCACAGGCACCAGTTAAACACAGAAGCTACGCTGTAAATTTCTATTTTTATAGAAGCTGCTGCCAAAGTCAAAGAATCATTACTCAATGAGGAGAAAGTAAAGTTGTTGTAGCTGCTCCAGGCCTATAAAATATCCACTGTGTTCGTGCTGCACTCTAACACACAGATTCATCGCTCTGATAACAGGTGCACCACTGACTTCAATAATAAGCACTAGTTTTTATTTATATTTATCATGTTGGAGTTTCAGGCTGCAAGGTGGCTAGCGCTGTTGCCTCGCAGCTAGAAGGTCGCCGGTTCATGTCCCACTGAGGACACCCGGGATCTTCCTGCGTGGAGTCTCCATGTTCTCCCTGTGCAGTGTGGGTTCTCTCCGGGTTCTCCGGCTTCCTCCCACAGTCCAGAAACATGTTGAGGTTAATTGGTGATTGTAAATTGTCCGTAGGTGTGAATGTGAGTGTGCTTGGTTGTCTGTCTCTAAGTGTAGCCCTGTGATAGACTGGTTACCTGTCCAGGTGAACCTGCCTTCACCCTGAGTCAGCTGGGATAGACTCCAGCCCCCCATGACCCTGGTGAGGATTAAGGTGGAGAGATGATGGATGGATGTTGGAGTTTCCAGTTTAGCTATACAGCTTACTTCAATATGTAAATCGTTGTTTACATTTCTTACAGTCAAGAATCAATGATTTGCAGACTGTCAAATAAACTCAAATTAAATGATCATTTTGCTTTTTGGGGTGAAAAAAATGTTAATTTAGATGAACTGAATACCTTGCAAAATAGTGCAAATATTCACTGATATATTATATATATATATATATAGTCATTAGTGGCTCAGTTCATAAACAAAAATGTTCCAGCAGCTGAGCGAGCAAAGTCGTGCTAATTGGATAATAACGGCATCGAACCATCCGACAAGCAGAAACTTTTGGGTTGTACAACTTTGTCTTCAACAACTGTGAGGACTCCAGAAGCAAGTGGGGCAACACCACCTGTCCAACCTGGTCAACTGTCTATCTAAGCTCATATGAAGACTAAAGGGCGACCCCCTCTGACATAACCCGCCAGTCTGCTGCACAGGCTGCTGCTATTTAATGTGAACAAATTACCTGTTGCTTTGAATTTGTTTAACATGAACAAATGCTCTCTGCCATTGAAAGAATTTGTCATAAGTTCCAGACTAACTTTAAGTCTCCCACGTAAGACAAAAAAAGGGCAACATGCAAACACAAAGGCCTGATTTGTTGCAGCCGTCTGTGTTATTTAGGCGCTCCGTGTCACATAACTGGACACAGCAGACGTATGGAAAACAGCACACGCAGAGAGTTTCCAGTTTCCTGGCAGACCGCTGGGATGTGATTAAACAGGCTCCACGTCTCTTTCCCTTTGCTTCAATTCCCCACAATGCATCATTGCTGCTCACACAAACTGCTCCATAAAACTCTGTCTTCTTAACCTTTGACGTTTTTCTGGAATTTACAGCGAGCTCTAGCTTTTTGCCATGACTGAATGCTGGATACGGGTCATACAACCGCCTTGGAAAAAGTCACTGAACAGTAGTTTCAACATCACCAAATCTGGAAAAGACTATGGAAATGTGATTGATGTAAACATCATGTTATTAAATGAGTAAATAAACTGATAGAACCTTAAACTCTCACTAGTAGTTCAGTCACAAGCTGCATTTCACTCTCACACCAGTTTGTGTTGTTGAGATGTGAGCAGTAAGTAACGCTCTACTATTGTTGAAATGCAGCCCGACACCAGCATAAACACACACAGAGAAGGCCAAGCAGCCACTGTATTCATGCTTGTACACAAATCTGAGGGCGACCACTCAGCCTGAGAGGAGCCTGTAATAGCAGTAAATGCCCACATGGTGGCAGAACCTTCACATGAAACACAAAGACTACTTTCCTAGAAAATAACCAAGAATACTGAGAATCAGGGATTTCTGTCTTCTGTTTTACTTTTGTACAGGCAGTCTGGATGATCTTAGAGCAAATGCACCTCCTCACACCCTTATTTCCTACTGTAGAGTCGTCGAAAAACTAAAATGTAGTGCACTAACATGCAGGAGCTTAAAGAAGACAAAAGAAATTATATAAACATATATATAAGAGACTAAGGGGGAAACAGACAAAGACATAACTTCGTACTCACATTTTCAATGACAAACGTCCACTCTTTGTCCTCAAACTCCTCTGCATGGGGGTCCTGCAAAGACGACATAAAAAGAAAAAAAAATAATTATCAGACTGGTCGTTTTTTTGCATATAGTTTTTCATGGGCTGCAAGGTGGCTCGGTGGTTAGCATCGTCGCCTCACAGCTAGAAGGTGAGGACACCCGGGATCTTTCTGCGTGGAGGCTCAAATTGTCCATAGGTGTGAATGTGAGTGTGCTTGGTTGTCTGTCTCTAAGTGTAGCCCTGTGATAGACTGGTTACCTGTCCAGGTGAACCTGCCTTCACCCTGAGTCAGCTGGGATAGACTCCAGCCCCCCACTAGTGAGGATTAAGTGGTAGATAGATGATGGATGGATGGATGAGTTTTCATTTTAGTCATGTACTATTATACGTTCAACACAGAAAACACAGTCACTGAGTGGCACCTGCTCCACCAACACACTACTCCAGTTGTATTCACCCACTGACCTGGTTTTTGTGTCCCATTTTCCTTCTAGTACGTACAATAGATGAAGAATTGTGCCTTACTGAAGTAACTTTAGAATCACACGATGATGAGCTGCTGTGTTCTCTCAGTAACGGTCTGTGTATTTCTATACATGAGTGGGCTGATGTGAAGCAAATTAGTGCATGTTTGATTACAATAGGAACTGAACACAAAGAAAACAAGCAGAAAAATGCTGAATTATAGACGTTTCTCTGTGTGTGTTTCTGACATTCTGGGTGCCGGGGTGTGCTGATAATACTGCATGTATCTACGTTGCAGTCGTCCTCTCTGTGTAGCTTTGAGGTGATGAGAATGGACAGTAATGGAGGCACAAAGACAGTAAACAGCCCTCTTACTCTGCTGCCATGGATGACCTTCACTGCCCTCCAGCACACACACACAGGCTCATGCACAATGCACACAACCACAAATCACAACCGGACAGGGCATTTTCAGACAGAGGATGCACATGTAATGGTGCACTCTAAATCCAAGTTGGACCCATTTATATCAGACTGATACCGCTGATGTAAGATTCAAGGCCAGGCCTGGATCACTGAAGCATTTCCACACACATTACTGGCCATCCTGGAGTGACTGCTGCCAGACGTAAATCACAAACCAGGTGTGGACCTCATTCAACAACACAACTGTGCAGAAATTCACTCACATTAGCCCTGCATCTAACGCTGGTAAAGAGGCAAATCAAGAAGGGTTGATCCATGCAGATTAAGGCTGCTGCTGATGATTATGTTCTGTTGATTATTTTCTGGATTAATCAAATAGTTGGTTTGCAAAATGTCAGAAAACAGTCGATCAGTAGTCGAAGATGACGACCTCAAATGCCCAAATATATTCAGTTTGCTGTCACAGAGGAGCAAAGAAACCAGAAAAAAATCGGATTTAGGGGCTTCAATTTCTTTTAAAAAGAATTAATTGATTATCAGAATAGTCAGTGATCAATTTAATAGTTGACAATTAACAATAAATCGCTCCAACACATACAAATCAACCCCCTCCTTTCACGCCAACACTTGTTTTTTCACAGCGTTTACTCTCTGCACAGTAACACAAACATGCAAATCACAAATAACTGATTTGTCAATTAAATAAGACGTATGTGTTCATCAAGTCTGTGCAGTATCAATGCTTCTACACTTACGAGACCTGGTGAAGCATCAGTACTTTCTACTTAGGGACAAATCTGAGCAATGCTATTGATTTGTGCGTTGTATTTATTTCCACATCCAGAGCAATTTGGACAATCTGTATTAGTAGTTATGTATGTTGTCTGTTTATTTTTCTACTGATATTTTTCAAATTGTTTGCACTATCCCCCTTTGCTGCTGCAATAATGCACATTTCCCCACTGTGGGAATAATAACAGCTGATGTTATCATAAGTTATTCATTACAAAAAAACATCTGCTACGAAAATGAGGTATTTTAATGCATCATTGTAATATGTGTGTATTGTTTTCTTACTTTTTGCCTTCACAGACAAAACGCTTAATCGATCCATACTGAGCATAATGTGCTTGTTGCCTGTAGTACACATGCACTGATGGCCTTTTTGTCTGACTGCGCCGGTGACACACCCCGAGAAATCAATATTCCTGCAGTCTGGCACAACACAACGCCCACATGGCACAAACACAGAGCGCTAGAGATACAGCTGCCTCATCCTCCCCAACAGTAAACGCTCCATTATTTCACAATGGCTTCTAAAAGCCAACGGAGCGGCGCGTTGTCGGCCTCCTCTGCCTTCCGGAGCTGCTGGTGAACACGAGCTGCAGTCATTTTCTGGTGTCGTCATTAGCATGTGTCGACAGTAACAAGGATCCTCATGGGTAACATATTTCCACCGTCTGTTCTTGTGCAACACCGCGTTTATCTGGTTTGGAAAATGCAGATGCCACATTAAACCTCACAAGTCAAATCCTGTCAATTACAAACCTGTCGGGGTAAATGTAACACCGGGAGGCGGGCGGGTTACAGAGGACTGGATGGTATGAGCTGCCCACTGCCTCTGTTAGGATCGATTCTAGCTACAGAATAAGGAGCAGGAACTCTACCCAGTTGAGTTAATTTTTAATTTCGGTATTTTCTTGCCATCCAGAGCTGCCTGGTGGTGAACGTCTCCCTGAGGTGCAGGCTGTAATACTGCTGAGCTCAGCTGATTTCGTTGCAGAGCTTCGGGGCAGAAAGAGCAGGAGAGAGTCTTCCAATCACTGCTGGAGTTTGTTTTTACCTTCAGTCAACACAGTGCACACACTGAAAGTCATAAGGTGTTCTGTGTTTATAGATTTAGGCTGGTATGAACTGTATTTTTGATATAAAAGACTTGCTTTGATTCAAGAGACAGATTAAAAACCAAGTTGTTGCATCAGAGCTTGTAATATCCTCACTTATTGAGACATTATTTGACTTGAAAAACAGGTGGAATGTCCCTTTAAAGTAAAACAAACGACTCCAGGTAATGTGAAGTCTCTTTAGTCGTGAATCCACTGACATGTTGCACCCAGCTTTTTGATTCTACGCCACTTGTTTCAGCCTTCAGCCTCCGTGATTGAGTCTCACCACTTTCAATTGCATAAAACTATTCCAAGCTGACCGTAGGCTGTATGCACACAACAGTAGAGACACAAAAAAAATAAAAAGTAAGTGGGGAAAATTTAAGTATTTGGCAAAGTAAGAACCCACACATTTTTCTTAACAGCTTGTGGAGACAAACCAGAAATGTAACTGCATTTGGTCTGTGTCTGTCCAAACATTTCATAAACCATAGAAAGGCCTGAATTCCAAAACATGATTGCACTAAATAAAACTGTGAATAACATGAAGACGGTAAGAAACATGAACACAGTCGTGACTCGATAATCCGACCCTTAATGTCACCAATCAGGATGACGGCGTATTATCTGACTGAACAATCCCACAGATTGGCTACGTTCACACTGCAGGACTTGATGCTCAATGAGGATTTCTTTGTGACTTCCTTCACGTTTCCACTTCAATGCGACTTGTATGTGATCTGCTGTGTGAACTTCATACGAGCCAAAAGTGTCCCGCATGCGCAGAAGAGGACACGACGACGTCACACGCAGCGAGCGTGCTCAGTGTTTATGGAAGTAAACATGGATGGTAACGGTGGAGCGTATCTGCCACTCCCCCGCCGCCACCGATGGAGGAAACAGAAGTGTGAGCGCTAACTAAACTAGCATCAGCAGCCAAGTACTGCCTGTGTGTTCTGGACACTTCCACCCCGTCAGAGCGCTGCCCCGGGGTGGAAGTGTCCAGAACGTGCACAAGCGCACCGGTCAGTTTGGCTGAAATCCAGCGATGCGTAGTGTTCTAACAATACACTAGTTATTATAACAACTATGAACAATAATTAACAACTAAAATTCCAGCATCAAGCCCTCCTTGTATCTCGACCTCTGTCTGGACAATCCGACATAAAAGAAGGTTTTACATTTAGTGTCGGATTATATCTAAAACCACAGAAACGTCACAAATAAATGTGTTTTAGAAAGTTAGGCAGGAGTCCTTCTGAAACTTTGAGAAATGCTCGCCCCTCTCTAGTTCCTTGGTCTATGTTTGTGTAATCAGGCAACTTTTGCTGTCAACTTAACTAAAGCAACTCGATCAGCTGGTGGTTTATGAGGGCAACATTTTCAAAATGTGCTTTATTTTCACTCCAACTGCATGAAAAAAGTGTTCTACCAAAGACATAACACTGGTGGACTGCAGAGACAAAAGTTATTTGATTTGGGCTCCATCCAGCAGCAGAGGAGAACTGTGCCTTTGGAGGCTTTGCTTTGTGTCTCGCTCCAGAAACAGCTTTATTACTTCCTCTGGGACCGGAAGTGGAAGTTCGCCCAGAAAAGAGACACGAACATGTAGAGCGGTGCTACACGAGCACTGCTAGAAAACAGAGATATCACAGTAGGTTTTTACAGCCGTCTGGAGATAAAGCAAAGTCTCAGGTTTCTGTCACTGGGACTCCTGTCTTTTCTCGCATGCCGGGGCCCCTCTGTGTGGATCCACCACCTTGTTGTTGTGTAGTTGTTGCACACACGTGACTGAACGGTAAAAAGCTACCAGCAGCTTCACAAAGCAGGTATGAAGGTATTTGTGGAGGGAGGTTCGGTTAAGGCGGCGGCGAAGGAGGTAACAGGACACTGAGCTCTGAGCCGACCTGTCAGCGCAGAGGCCCGGCATGTTTAAGTAAGCCGGGCCTGGTGACAGATACTATCCATGCGAGTGTGTCATTAACAGACAGGGCTGCACCACTGGACTGACGTTGGGTCAAAATTCCTCTACATTAGGACCCCTGAATCCAAACTGATTAAACACTGTACCTTAAAAAGCGTGACGGTGATCTCGATGTTCTCCGGTACGGGCCACACCACCACGCCTCTGTAGGGGTTTTTGATGCCGGGCTGCCAGCTGTGGGACTGCAGGAAAAAGCAATCATAATTGGAAGTGAGAGACCTGTTTTTTCATTGTTGTTTCATTATTATCTTTCATCAAATACCAACCTTAGAGGATTTCCGCCGACTTCTGCGCGTCCACACCACCACCAGTTTGTCTGGTTGCCTGTGAGGTAGAAGAGAAGAGGAAGATGAGTGGAGGAAGGCGACGGTGTTCATTCATCAGCGAAGCTATCTCTGGGCCTCCACCTGCCTACACGACATGTCCCGAGACTGTCAGTCCAATCGAGTCTGCATCTTAATGCCTCAGGTTTTAAAGCCCTAATAAGCCTCCTGCTACACACACACACACCTGCACAGTCACTCGTGGTATGAATAAATCATGATGAGACAACCAAACCCCGGCTTTGTCTCTGTGGGCCGCAGTACACACACCCGGCAGAAACACACACACACAAGAGGTTAGTGTGACAGGAAAATAGTGAATGAGGCTGACGGTTACAATAACATGACCCGGTCCAGGATAGAGTCACGCTGCACCGACGCCACGGCCAGACAGCCAAAGATCTGTTCAATGAAACAGCAACGAGAAAGTCAAATATTTACCAGGATTGTTCAAAAATTTTGCATGAAACGGGTGGAAAGTGTCGGCACGAGTGAGAAACAAAACACAGTCAGGCTGCTGATGGAGGCAGCTTCACTTAGACGCTCTTCAACCCTCATCTGTGACTGTATTTGCTGGACGTTTATCAAACAGAGTGAACGTATGTGATGTGCTTGAACTCTGTTTAGCATAATACTGTGTTGTATTCAGGGCAGCGGTGCACACGCTGTAGTAGCCACGGACCGCTTTGACATGACAGCAGCGGATTAATCATGATCGAGTGAGTGACTTCAAATAATTCCTACTTCAAGAAGTCGATACCTTTTAGACACAGACGGCCAATTCACTCAGTGAAAAGCTTTACAAATAACAATAATAATATGCTGTGACAAACTGCATCATGTCCAAGCAAACAACTTATGATATTACGGAGATTTAACCAACTTTCACACATTAAACCTCAATAAAAAGGCCTAAAAACATCATTATCGTACCCTTATTTGAGAAGGACGCTTTAAGAAATTGGGGTTCGTCCACATTTTATTCCATATTTGTCCTAAACAGAGCCAAAGAAGTAGCTTCCTGGTGAGTTGTCATGTCTGGACTTGCTTGTTTGTCACTCCTGGTGCATGTTTGCTTTGTAAAAACGAGCATGGTGGAGGAAACCAGAACAGCTCTGAGGCCTAGACGTTTACTGTAACGCATTTACAATAATATATCATCCCTATTTTTATTTCAGTTTGGTGTGTTAACCCGATACTGTCCCACCATCTTCTCCATTCATGACCTACATCATCTTTGTTCTTTCATTCACTGTAAAAAACAAATTACTACCTGAATTGACAAACAGAACATGCAGCCATCAAGACGAACCAAAATACAGTATTTACAGAACATCAGCTGGATGTTAACAAGCAGAAGAGGGAGGAAAAATGGGCAACACATCCTCTGATTTGTATGTGGTTGTAAATGTGTATTGCTGCAGGATCTATACGTCTGAGATGTGTGTAAAACTGGCAGCTGAATGAAGAAAATAATACTGAATTTAACTGAATGAGGAAAATTTAGGGAAAAGAAAGCACCTCTGTCAGACAGATTGACTGAGAAGAGGCACTAGAAAATGTTTAACTTCTGCTGTCAGGACCCGTCTGACCCCGGCTCGCCCTGGAAGTGCCCCCGTAAAAATTAATTAACTGTCAAGCCAAACTTTGGCTTTTAGTCATCAACTGAGCGCTGCAGTTTAAAGATGCCAGCAGCAGAGTTCGGGTTCCTGCGCTGGCAAGCGTCCACTCTGTGCTCTTGAGCTCTCCGGGGACGACGGTCTGTAGCTGAACCGACCTCCGGCTCTACGGTGGACAAAAGAAAACGAGCAAACTGCCCTACAGGGACTCCTTAGAATCACTTTATTGTGCTCTGCTAAGCTCTGCTAAAGCTGCACCAATAACTCTGACAAGAAACTGCAAAACATCAATACTGGGAGGCAGTTTTGTTTGGGCAATATCGCTAATGTAACCTTCAATTACACGTGTAAATGCTGCACGGTTCAATCTGGATACTAGAAGGTGACAAAAACATCAAATCTAAGTAATCTAATGACGTAGCGCCACTTTTAAATGGGCCTCTGCAACACTGAGCCTCGTCATGTACATGCACGATCTGCAACGCTCCGGTGTGAAGCAATAAACACTGGATTTATGTGTGCGAGAGTCAAAGACTCCTGAAGAACAACAGCAAGTCATTCCAGGAAAAGAATGACAGACTGTGTGACAGAAAGAAGACGCAAGAGAGAAAAAGACAGAAGAGAAAGGGAAGCTCAGAGGAGGAGGAGGAGAGTGAAAAAAAAAAAAAAAAGAAGAGGAGAGAGAATGACAGATAACAATTTCAGGCTGGAGGAGAGGCGCCACATAGAGCAGCTATTGTCCCACAACACATGCCATATGAGAGCACAAACACACAAGTATCACCCTCGGCTGTTTTCCCCTCGCCTTTGTACAATATTTGCTGCGCTATGAGAAAAATTCGAACCATTTGTCTGCAGGCTAAATGACTCGTACGCACTTTTTTTGGTGTTGTTCTCTCTTGTGTTACGACGAGCGACCTCGGGGCCGAACGCCTGCTCCTGTGTGTTACAGGAATCAATGAGAGGAGAGCCACAGCAGAGGAGACGAATGGGATGAAGACGGGCAGAGAGAGTCCTGAAGCAGCTATTCTAACATTAAGATGCTCAGTTTAGACTTTATCTTAAGTTTAGTTTGGGTAAAGGTTGATAATCACGGGAATCTCAACATGCATAAGTGCAAAACACAAACTACACAAGCTGCAATATTTTGATTAAAAGGTAAAAATGTGCAAAAAAAACAGGTAAAATTTTAAACAAACCAACCCTCCAGATGTAAATGCTTGTTTTGTACAGATTGCAGCAAAAATCCCATCATTTATATTACTCATTTCATTTATTTTTTGTACAGAGACACATGCTAAAATTACCATTACCACTAAAATACTGACTCATATAACGATTACGATACCATGTGTGTGTTTATTTGTATTGGTTGTAATGACAGCTTCCCATTATCGTCCTGAATAGACCTAGCAGAACAAAAGCTTTTGGATTTTCTGAACGACAACGCCTGACGCCCAGCAGCTAGGTGAGCAAAAGGGGAACAAAAGAGTGAAATAACGAGCTTCCAAATTAATGGATGTGTCTCTTATATGATGCTACAAGAGTCAGAATGTCCTGAAAACTCTTTAAAAAAAAAATAAAAACGTGAGTAATAAGAAGAAGTGAGAGAAAAGGGATGAACAGAGTGTCTGCGATTGTGTGTGTGGGCTGGAGAGAGATGGCAGATAAGAGTAAAAGTGGGTCAGCGGGCTCAGCAGGGGCCGAGATGAGAGTCCTCCGAGATCGACACAGATAAACCCTTCTACGTTTACGTTGAAGACATTCAGCTGCTGCTCTCGTCCACAAAAAAAAAAACCCTGCAATTAGTGAACATGTTCGACGTTTCCTCGAAGACACGCAGCATCACAACAGGTAAGAAACGAATCCATCAGACAGCTCTTTAACTGGTATTTTTTGTTTGTAATGCTGCATGTCTTTGTGAATTTATTGATAAGAACCCTGCTCTTCTCTCAGCTCGTTCGGCATACAACAGAGACACAGCGCTTTATATAAAACGCTTCTACCATCACCTACACACTGCTCATTTCTGTGGGTGTGTGTTACACCTTATCTGCAGCAGCTGTGCAGCAGAGGCAGCAGCATCTGCAGTCCTTCCATCTGTGTCTGCACTATAATCAGTCCAGTCACAGAACCGCTAAGCGCGCTAAAGCATTACAGCAGCATTAACAGCTCGGTGTAAAAATCACAGTCTTTTCCGTGCATGTGGGATAAAATGAGCTAAAAAATCAAGTGAAGCAGGGCAGGTTAAAAACTTAGCATGTCTGCAATGTGCTCACTGGAGCTGCAAGGTTTAATAAGTTCATTGATTAGTTGTCAGCTAATAAATTAAACACCAATCATTTTAATAAATAATCAGAAAAAAAGAAAAAAATCTCTGGTTCCAGCTTCTTAAAGTTCAATAGCTTTTAGTTTCTTTCCTCCTCTTTAACAGTAAAAATGTGGACAAAACAAGACATTTTTCACTGAACAAACACCTTATTAGTCAATAGATTAACTGTCAAAAACATAAATAAGTTGCAGCTGTATTATTTTATACAGTTAACTCTTTAATATTTCCAACGCTCAGTGGAAGAGATGGATCGCTAACAAACACTAATTAATCCTGAACTCTCTAACCCACAGCACGGCTCCAGACTGACCAAAATGCTTGCATATGTGACCTTTTTTTTTGAGAGTGTTCAAGTTAAAATTGCACGTGGTCACATTTGTGCGGGTGGATGGCGATCATTAGGCTGATCCGGAGCCCCTCCGGCTACTGCATTAGCCACAGTGGTGGAAAATAGTACGTTTTGTTCCTCCCTGACTCAGCCAGACTCTCCCTGAGTGATGTGTGAAACAATCCATGTAGGCTTCATCGTGGTCCAATGATGAAATGATATGTAGATGATTATTCTAATAAAACTAAATGAGGAGAGAGGAGGAGGAGGCTGGTGGAAACAGAGAGACAACTAATCACACGAAGCAAGTCAGTTGAGAAGAAAAAGCAGTCCTGTACATTCGATCACACTGGCTAGCATCATGCTAGGGCTAAAAATGTAAACAAATATTAACGGTGATTATGATTTTGGCGTTCTGCAATTAAATAAACATGACAGACTACGGTGCTGATGTTTAAATGTGCTGTGCTCATAGAAAACATTTAAAATCGGACTTGAGAACACCCTATTCACTCTTTTCCAAGTGAGGGTTTAGTCCCACACCTGTCTGAGTAGCTTCCTGGCTAGCGTGTCCCTTAGCCAGCATGTGACGCGTTTAGGGAACGTCGGGAAATTGCAGCGTCAATCGATGTGAGTGAGGAGTTGAGCCAGTTTATAGCAGTGATATCAAACAACTTCAGGGAAAGATTCCTGACAAAATGTACATAACTTCTGATCATCAA